AATCCGGACTCCACCTGCCAAAGATCATTGGGGAATATAAACCTGGATATGCGTATGGAAATGTCAAGACGCACAAGCCTGGAAACCCACTTCGGCCAATCATTAGCCAGATACCCACACCCACGTACAGACTGGCGAAGCGACTCAACGGCCTGCTGACTCCTTATGTTCCTTGCGCCTTCAGCCTGAAGTCTCCAAAGGAATTTGTGGACTTACTGCGGAGCGCACGGGCCACAGGGATAAGAGCCTCGTTGGACGTAGAATCGCTGTTTACCAACGTACCTGTGGACGAGACAATCGGAATGATAGCCGACAGAGTGTATCGTGATCCAGCCTGTACTCCTCTTGACATGCCAGAAAGTATTCTGAGGAAACTACTCCAAGCTTGTACTAAAGAGGCACCCTTCTTGAGCCCGGATGGGCACATGTATAAGCAAGTAGATGGGGTCGCCATGGGTTCTCCCCTAGGTGTCCTGTTTGCAAACTTCTACATGGGTACCATCGAGCAAAAAGTCTTAGTCGACATGAACTTGAAACCGGCCATATACTGCAGGTATGTTGACGACATTTTTACACAGGTACCTGATGTCAGACATCTGCAGGAGCTGAAGGAGGCATTTGAGCAGAGTTCCGTGCTGCGTTTCACTTACGAGACGGAAAAGGATGGGAAGCTACCTTTTCTAGATGTAACAGTCATGGAAAAGGGCGGAGGTTTCCACACTGCAGTCTACACAAAGGAAACAAACATAGGAATGTGCCTAAATGCCAACAGCGACTGCCCTGACAGGTACAAGAGGAGTGTTGTTAACGCATACGTCGACCGTGCTCTCAGCCACAGCTCAGAATGGAAGCAAGTCGACGAAGAACTCTGTAGGGTAAGGCAGGTCCTAGTCAATAACGGCTTCTCCAATGGTTTCATCGAAGACATCATAAGAAGGAAAGTGAAAAGCCATGCAACCTCCGAAGAGACAACTAACACAACACCTATACCCCCTATTAGACTATTTTACAGGAACTTCTTTTCCACAGCTCATAAAACAGAGGAAAGGGTCCTGAAAGATATTGTTAATAGAAACGTTATCCCTACAGACAAAAATCAGAGGATACAACTGACGATTTACTATAAAACCAGAAAAACGGCCAGCCTACTCATGAGAAACTCTCCAGACACGAAACAGAACGCTTTAAAAGAGACTAACGTCGTCTATGCCTTCAAATGCCCACTTGGGGACTGTAAGCTCCAAAAAACCCAGTATATAGGCAAGACAACAACATCTCTTTCTAGGCGTTTAACGATGCATAAACAACAGGGCTCCATTAAGGAACATATAATCTCTTCCCATAACCAAACCATCGCCAGAGAAATCCTAGTAAACAACACAGAAATCATCGATAGATACAGCGATAGCAGGCGGCTTGACGTTTGCGAGGCACTACACATCAAGAAGTCAACACCAGCAATCAACAGCCAATTATTGCACAACTATATTCTACCCACCTCAAGACTCCGCTCCAATATAGAAGCATCAAGAAATATGGACCAATAGGCTTTCTACAAACACTTCTATTCAATACCCATTGTTTCTGTTCTGTCTTGTGTTGATACTTTTAATACCCTATTAATATCCCCTAGTGTTCTGTCTTGTGTTAATGCCACATCATCCTTCCCACCTCACTCAAATGTAATGCCACATCACCCTTCCCACCTCACTCAAATGTAGATATAAAATCAGGGAAACGCAAGTTCTAATCAGTTGTGTATTTGTGAAGTCTTTGAAAATGTAATAAGTTTTACGAAACGCGCCCGTGTTGCGTCAGACTAGAAATAAAAATGAATTTTGGAGAAGTGATTTTTGATTTACCTCCAACAGTGAAGCGTAATGTACGAAAGATTGAGAAAATTCGTGTTAGAATTATTAATCTTACTTTTTCGGTCATATTTAATAATATATGTCTACAGGAAAGACTGCTACCAAAATATACTAATATATATATATATATATATATATATATATATATATATATATATATATATATATATATATATATATATATATATTCATATATATATATATGTCGTACCTAGTAGCCAGAACGCACTTCTCGGCCTACTATGCAAGGCCCGATTTGCCTAATAAGCCAAGTTTTCATGAATTAATTGTTTTTCGACTACCTAACCTACCTAACCTCACCTAACCTAACTTTTTCAGCTACCTAACTTAACTTAACCTATAAAGATAGGTTAGGTTAGGTTAGGTAGGGTTGGTTAGGTTCGGTCATATATTTACGTAAATTTTAACTCCAATAAAAAAAAAATGATCTCATACATAATGAAATGGGTAGCTTTATCATTTCATCAGAAATAAATTAGAGAAAATATATTAATTCAGGAAAACGTAGCTTATTAGGCAAATCGGGCCTTGCATAGTAGGCCGAGAAGTGCGTTCTGGTTACTAGGTACGATATATATATATATATATATATATATATATATATATATATATATATATATATATATATATATATATATATATATATATATATATATATATATATATATACAATCTTTGGACAACACCCACCAGTGGGCCTCGAACCCAGAAAGCACAACTACCTTCCAGTAGCTGCCATAACTAGTACGCCTTAACCCACTACACCATCAGACATATTTATATAACCCACTACACCATCAGACTTTATATATATATATATATATATATATATATATATATATATATATATATATATATATATATATATAATATATATATATTTTATTAAATATGACCGAAAAAGTAAGATTAATAATTCTAACACGAATTTTCTCTATCTTTCGTACATTTCTTTTCACTGTTGGTGGTATTTCAAAAATCAATTCTCCAAAATTCATTTTAATTTCTAGTCTGACGCGACTAGCAAAAAGTCTTAGTCGACATGAACTTGAAACCGGCCATATACTGCAGGTATGTTGACGACATTTTTACATAGGTACCTGATGTCAGACATCTGCAGGAGCTGAAGGAGGCGTTTGAGCAGAGTTCCGTGCTGCGTTTCACTTACGAGATGGAAAAGGATGGGAAGCTGCCCTTTCTTGATGTAACAGTCATGGAAAAGAGCGGAGGTTTCCACACTGCAGTCTACACTAAGGAAACGAACATAGGAATGTGCCTAAATGCCAACAGCAACTGCCCAGACAGGTACAAAAGGAGTGTTGTTAACGCATATGTCGACCGTGCTCTCAGCCACAGCTCAGAATGGAAGCAAGTCGACGAAGAACTCTGTAGGGTAAGGCTGGTCCTAGTCAACAACGGCTTCTCCAATGGTTTCGTCGAAGACATCGTAAGAAGGAAAGTGAAACGCCATGACACCTCTGAAGAGACAACTAACACAACACCTATACCCCCTATTAGACTATTTTACAGGAACTTCTTTTCCACAGCTCATAAAACGGAGGAAAGGGTCCTGAAAGATATTGTTAATAGAAACGTTATCCCTACAGGCAAAAATCAGAGGATACAACTGACGATTTACTATAAAATCAGGAAAACGGCCAGCCTACTCATGAGAAACTCTCCAGACACAAAGCAGAACGCTTTAAAAGAGACCAACGTCAACTATGCCTTCAAATGCCCTCTTGGGGACTGTAAGCTCCAAAAAAACCAGTATATAGGCAAGACAACAACATCTCTTTCTAGGCGTTTAACGATGCATAAGCAACAGGGCTCCATTAAGGAACATATAATCTCTTCCCACAACCAAACCATCGCCAGAGAAATACTAGTAAACAACACAGAAATCATCGATAGATACAACGATAGTAGGCGGCTTGACGTTTGCGAGGCACTACACATTAAAAAGTCAACACCAGCAATCAACAGCCAATTAATGCACAACTATATTCTACCCACCTTAAGACTCTGCTCCAATATAGAAGCATCAAGAAATATGGACCAATAGGCTTTCTACAATCACTTCCATTCAATACCCATTGTTTCGTGTTCTGTCTTGTGTTGATGAAATTAATACCCTATTAATGACACCTCACCCCATCCACCTCACTCAAATGTAGATATAAACAAATCGGAGATGTGTAAGTTCTATTCAGTTGTGCATGTGTAAACTAAAGTCTTTGAAAATGTAATAAGTTTTACGAAACGCGCTCAAGTGTCGCGTCAGACTAGAAATAAAAAATAAATTTTGGAGAATTGATTTTTGAATTACCACCAACAGTGAAAAGAAATGTACGAAAGATAGAGAAAATTCGTGTTAGAATTATTAATCTTACTTTTTCGGTCATATTTAATAATATATGTCTACAGGAAAGACTGCTACCAAAATATACTTATATATATATATATATATATATATATATATATATATATATATATATATATATATAAAGTTTTCCTCCGCATTTCAGACATATGGTCAGAAATTGTGTGTTTACTGCATAGTTTCTTGGAGGAAAAAATGGAATGATTTCTTGATTTTTTTTTACCTCAGGTCGTGAGCCATTTATTCCTTCACATACTTCACATTTTTCTCGTCTCCTTAAGTCCCAATTTCGAGCGCGCTTGATCTCCTCACCATCCGGCCCTTACCTTGAAAAATAGGCCGGCTGGCTTCTCCGATCCATATATAGCCGGCCTCGGAAGTCCAATATTTACGTTGGGTGTCATTACCGTCAAAATTGCGGCGCACTAAGTGTGAGGACAGGTTCTTCACCCAGTCCTCTGTCACCATCATCCAGTTAGTTCACACTATCCTTCACTCTCACGTCACACTGAACGGTAGAACATAATGCCAAATGGTTGAGAACATTAGGGAAGATCAGGATGGTACTAAATAACTGAAGAACAAGGTGATGGAACATGATGTTAGAACTTTACGGTAGAACATATGTTAGTACATTACGGTTGAACACGACGGTAGAACAAGATCCACAGAATTTTCACGATACATAAACTACATTCCAACACGATGTATTTCATTATTAGAACTCAGTTAACTACAGATGTAAACGATCTTCTATTCATTGTTTCTTCACTCTGCTGTATTATATTACACTGTTCAATATTATACAGCATGTATAAACTGTATGTATAAGTGGCACAACGCACAGTAATTCACTGTTACACTCTAATGTTACTGAAACTGTGAATTACACTGAACCACCAAAACTATTTTATACTGAACAACACAATGTATTACCTTGAACCAACGTGCTGTATTACACTGAAACAATACAATATATATAGCACTGAAACATCACACACTCTATTTTACACACAAAAATACGCTTTGTTACACTGAAACAACATCTATTATATTGAAATAATACGCTGTATCCCACTCAAGCAACACTGCATTATACTGAAGCCAACTCACTGTAACACCACACCTGTAACAGTGTAAAAGCACGAAACATTTTTTTGTGTTTTGTATTCAACTAAAATATACTGAAATGACACGTGTGTCACGGTATACTGATACATAGGCCTTCTCTACCTTTTCAGTGAAATTTTATTTGTATAATCCGTCACAGTATTCATTTCTGATGAAAACTGAATAAATACTGAAAAATACTGTGAAAAAAATATTGGAAAATTATGTGAAAAAATACTGAAAAAAAGCTATTGAAATAGACCTATCCTATTTCAATGGCCTTTTTTTAAGACATTTTATCATTCGCAGACTTGCGCAGACACTTCGACCATTCTGCTGTAGTTTGTGTTTTTAAGAATGCGGTCCTGCATCCCAGCCCGAAGTTATTAAGAAATCGGATTCTTAAGAATACTATATATTTGTACCCAGTGCATAGGTTTGAAGCCTCATCACAACTCCTGTTGATGTTCTCATTGATACATCACGAAAAAGTAATTTCTATGTATATATTTGTAATTTGTTTTCATTCACTATGAAAGTGAAGCATTATTTAATATTTTTTTGGACAAAACATAAAGATAGAGAAATCGATTAGACCTTGAGTCGTGCCACCACACTCCCCCCAGCAGGCCTTGGGGGTGGTGTGATGGGGATTATTCATGTGGAGGACGGAGTCTCGGGGATCTGTTGGGGAAGGTTGGGGTGTAGGGTGTGGGGAAGATCCACCCTCCTGATGTTACAGAGGGTTGGGTTTCGATGGGGAGGAGGGGGGAAGCGGGTGTTCTCTCCTAAAAGAGTCAAAGGGGGCAATAGTGGAAGTTATCTCATATTGAAGTTAGTGTGTGGTGGAGGGGGGTGCTCCTTCAGCTTCACGACAATTAAGGGGTGAGAGGGGAAGACAGAGATCTACCCTTTCTGGAGTTCCTAAGGGTCGGAGGGAAGGCAGAGCCTCGACCCTCCATACCATCTGAACCCCACTCCTGGAGGGGCTAACCTGTTACTGACTGAATCGTTTTAATATCAGGAGGGAGCATAGACCCTTTCCGACACTCACCATCAGGGCAGCGGTGGCACAGTGTCGGCACAGTGTCGACACATCGCTGGCACAGTGTCGGCACAGTGTCGACACAGCGCTGGCACAGTGTCGGCACAGTGTCGACACAGCGCTGGCACAGTGTCGGCACAATGTCGACACAGCGCTGGCACAGTGTCGACACAGCGCTGGCACAGTGTCGCCACAGCGCTGGCACAGTGTCGACACAGCGCTGGCACAGTGTCGGCACAGTGTCGACACAGCGCTGGCACAGTGTCGACACAGCGCTGGCACAGTGTCGCCACAGCGCTGGCACAGTGTCGACACAGCGCTGGCACAGTGTCGACACAGCGCTGGCACAGTGTCGCCACAGCGCTGGCACAGTGTCGGCACAGCGCTGGCACAGTGTCGACACAGCGCTGGCACAGTGTCGGCACAGCGCTGGCACAGTGTCGCCACAGCGCTGGCACAGTGTCGACACAGCGCTGGCACAGTGTCGGCACAGCGCTGGCACAGTGTCGCCACAGCGCTGGCACAGTGTCGGCACAGCGCTGGCACAGTGTCGACACAGCGCTGGCACAGTGTCGCCACAGCGCTGGCACAGTGTCGACACAGCGCTGGCACAGTGTCGGCACAGCGCTGGCACAGTGTCGCCACAGCGCTGGCACAGTGTCGACACAGCGCTGGCACAGTGTCGGCACAGTGTCGACACAGCGCTGGCACAGTGTCGACACAGCGCTGGCACAGTGTCGCCACAGCGCTGGCACAGTGTCGGCACAGCGCTGGCACAGCGCTGGCACAGTGTCGACACAGCGCTGGCACAGTGTCGGCACAGCGCTGGCACAGTGTCGCCACAGCGCTGGCACAGTGTCGGCACAGCGCTGGCACAGTGTCGCCACAGCGCTGGCACAGTGTCGCCACAGCGCTGGCACAGTGTCGGCACAGCGCTGGCACAGTGTCGCCACAGCGCTGGCACAGTGTCGGCACAGCGCTGGCACAGTGTCGACACAGCGCTGGCACAGTGTCGGCACAGTGTCGACACATCGCTGGCACAGTGTCGACACGGCGCTGGCACAGTGTTGCCACAGCGCTGGCACAGTGTCGACACAGCGCTGGCACAGTGTCGGCACAGCGCTGGCACAGTGTCGGCACAGCGCTGGCACAGGGTCGCCACAGCGCTGGCACAGTGTCGACACAGCGCTGGCACAGTGTCGCCACAGCGCTGGCACAGTGTCGGCACAGCGCTGGCACAGTGTCGCCACAGCGCTGGCACAGTGTCGCCACAGCGCTGGCACAGTGTCGGCACAGCGCTGGCACAGTGTCGCCACAGCCCTGGCACAGCGTCGGCACAGCGTTGGCACAGTGTCGGCACAGCGTCGGCACAGCGCAGGCACAGTGTCGGCACAGCGTCGGCACAGCGCTGGCACAGTGTCGGCACAGCGTCGGCACAGCGCTGGCACAGCGTCGGGTGCAAGCCACAGTTACCGGCAGTATGTCTTCCTC